GGGGGGGGGGGTTTAGGGGTAGATAGGGTTTAATTAGTGGCCTCGCCCTAAACAGGATGGAAAGTTGTGGAGACGAAAAGGCCTCCATTTGGTCTCCCAAGACTTGAATACAGCTTGACAAGAAAAACAGAAGCATCGGCTCTTTATGTCCCGAGCCTTTGTAGCGGCAAGGGCTTCCTGCAGCACCTGGACATTGGCATACCGGGGATGCAAGGCGTGAGGCTACTGACAAGCCCCAGACGCGCTTCCAGTCTCCTCTGGCCAAGAAGCCTCAAACATCGTGACCCCTACTGCGAGTCTTCAGCCCAAGCTGAAAGTGGCAGCAGTAAAACAAGCTCAATGCCTCCTTGACCGGCCAACCCCTCAATGTATTTTCAACTTCGGGATACTTAGAACGGTAACATGTTCCATGAACACCTGCGCGACACGGCATCACGAACAGCAGAGTCCTAATGCTTCTCCTTCTGCCTGTCGGCTTCTGAAAAATCTTGACCCAAGCCTGGAGCCCTATACCCAAAACTATACACACCTTTCGGGCAACCCAAAAAATCTACCTTAAACCTCAAACCTCAAAAGCCTAAACCCTCCAACCCGTATCCCTGCCTGCAACTTGTCGGCATCCTCGGCTGTTGAGCTTTGGCTGCCGCGGCAGAGGGGGCAGCTCCGCGTGGATCTGGTGCTCCGAAATTCGAGGGACTTCCCAGACAGCTGCGTTAAAGGGTTGTGAAGCTTTAATCAAATTCGTATCTCTTTTAAACCCAGAGGGGATTATAGATAGATAGATAGATAAAGAGAAAGATAGAAAGATNNAGATAGAAAGATGGATAGATAGATAGATAGATAGATAGATGGATAGATAGATAGATAGATAGATCGATCGATAGATAGATAGATAGATCGATAGATAGATAGATACATAGATAGATAGATAGATAGATAGATAGATAGATAGATAAATAGATAGATAGATAGATGGATAAATAGATAGATAGTTCAGGCTAGATACTGATAGATAGATTGATAAAGATAGACAGAAAGAAACAAAGAAAGATAGATATGTTTCTGATTGAAAGGGCTTTGGGCTCTGTAATCGGGATTTTCTCGGAAGGCTTCGCAAATATAAAAAGATTGCAGCTAGCCTCCGTTTTCAAAGTGAAAATGAGGTCAAATGATTCAGCAAATCGAAGTTTTGCACTGGGATTGCGCTGGGTCTCCGGCTGAGGCGGCACAAGACTTCCGGTGGATACTTTGCAGTGTCGCCAATTTCACTGCAAAAGACGGCGAGTTTGCATTCTGTGTCCTGTTGAGGTCAGGCTCTTCCCGACAATGAACCCTATCCCCAGCCCTAATTAACCCTTTTGCAACAGGCTTTCCACTTCGCCCGGAGTTGGAGCAAGCAGCCCTAGCAGCTTTACCCCTAATTAACCCTAAACCCTAAACCTAGACACTGAAGCCAACCCACCCAGCCTCGTCACCAACCCGCTGGCTGGCACGCCTTCCGGCAGTGTTTCGCCAGTGGCTTCGCGCCACTGAGCAAGACCTGAAAGGCAACGCTACAAGATCAAGAACATCACAAGCATTATGCACTAGATATTGCGTACTGTTGCGCGCAGAATGCGGGGACAGTGCACGTGGCGACCGGACTCTGCCTGTTGACCTACTGCAGTCTGTGGCCGAGGAATCGGCACTCCGTGTGTAGATTCCTGGAGGCCGGGGATGCTCGACAAACACAAGACAGGGATTCTAATCCACTAACCCAGACGGGCCTAGTGGCCCATGCTACACATACCGTAAATCATACTGGAAGGATCAATAATGGCCTTCTCATCATCCAACGCATGTTGCTGAAAAAACGGGTGGAGGTTTCTCTTGGTATCCTGAAGCCCTGAGCCCTGAAGCATTCATGTATGAAAACATTTACTTGTTTATGTATATGTGTATATATACACACACTGATATTATGTGTATGTATGTATGTGTATATATATATATATTCATGTATGTTTTTCCCTCTCGCTCTGCCGAGGCTGCGTGGTAACCATGGCCAACCCGCTCACAGAAAGGACAGCTAACCGAGAGTGTACATCATGCACATGTGTATATATATATATATACACATAATGTGTGTGTAAGTATGTGTATATATGTATAAAATGTATATACATATGTATATCTGCACATATGTAAAATTGTATATGCAAACCGGTTATCCCCGGGATGAACTGACTTGTTTTCCTTTTTTTTCCACAGCCAGTGCCAGACCGTCGGTCCAAAACTCGCAACCCCAATCCTGTGGTGTCACGCAGACCTCAACTGCCTCCCATAATAGTAGTAGTAGTAGTAGTAGTAGTAGTAGTAGTAGTAGAATTGGGCAGATGTGGCTTAGACCAGTGGCCCGGTCCCCAGCCCCTGATGTCGTCACGTCCCAGCAGCACGTCTATGCCAGGCAGTATCTCCAAAAAGAAGCTGAGACCACCGGCGCAACGACCCGCAGCCACTGACTTTCAAGACTGCTGCTCTGAAGGTGTGGCACTGATCTGTGGTGCCCAAAACCCCTTGATGCCCCAAGTAATTCTGAAAGCCCCCGAAATCCCAAGTCGACAAACCTAAAGAAATCCGAAACCAAGACCCACTAAAAAATCCCAAACCATATCAAGTCCACCAAACCCTACATAAACTTACCCTCAACCTCCAAAGACCCACAGCTACCGCAGCGCTCCTCCCACAGCCGGCACAGCAGCTCGCACCCGCCAGTGTCTCCACTGGGTCAAAGCACACCGGACAAGGCCTCGGCTGCGGGGTTCAGGGTGTGATCCAGGGGCCGTAATCATGAGAATCACATGGGGGGCCTAAATAATTACAAATATTATTTTGGGGGTTCCTTATTATAAATATAGGCCCCAAAACCCAATTCTAATCAGGCCCCTCTGTTCGGGTTCGATCAGGGCTCAGAAGGGGCTTGGAGAATCGGAACAAGGCTTTGGAAGTATCGTACAAATACAAAAAGGCCACGAGGGTGCAGATCTCGATCATGGGGTTGAAAGTCTGCGCATATTTTTGACACTCACACGACTCGAGCAAAGCCTTCAGCAAGCCCCGATGCCGGAGGTGTTCTGGGGCCCCGGCGCACCGGGACTCTGCCGCACTACAGGGCCTGCACTGCGGCAAGCAGAAATGACCTGAGCTACCAGGCAATGCGAGGCTTTAACGTTTAATTTGGCGATTATGGCTACGATTGAAAGTATTGCAGACAGTGACACCCGGGCAAACCTGGCGAGCCGCGAGACCATGCTAGCGTGCACAAGCTCGGAAGAGCAGCATGCCAAGAAGCGTCTTTGACTTCCAATTAGCTTTCGGTAGCTTGAAACTTCAAGACATTCCACACCGGCTCTTTGACTTGTTTTTGTCTCGGCATCGTGCGTGCGCCGCATTGATCGCCTACACCCCGAGGGATGGACATTGAGTCTTCAACTCCCAGTCGGGACAGGCTGACGGCAAGAAGCGAAATATCCGACACAAATCCGGCAAGTTCATCACGCCTAAATGCACCGCATCGTAGCTGCCGGCTCGGGATAGCATCTTGTACACTACATTAGGATGCTTGCCTGTTCACATTCCTGCGCCTAGTGATAGCGTGTGTGAGATATGGCAGCACTTTCCCTGAACCCTTTTGCAACAGGCTTTCCACTTCGCCCGGAGTAAACCCTAAACCCTAAAGTCGGATCTGTTTCTAAGCTCTGGCAGCCTCCGCTCACGGCCAGTTCCAATCATAGATGGCTCTGACCTCGGGTCTATCCAGGTATTTTTGTTTCCCCCTCGCATGGCTGAGACCAATGCTCACAGGCGAGGCTTCTTCGGCGTGCAAGACTACGCAACTCGCAAAGCAAAGTCTGCCCCTCCAGCCACTGCTCTAACAGGATTTAGGGTTTAGGGTCTAACGGGCGATCATCAGCAGTAGATGATGTTGCACAGCCGCGAAAGTCTTAGCCGGGTCTTGAGCTTTGTTTGGGGCTTCCGTTCTACAGTTCTCTTCTCCATACACTTGAAACATCTATGCACGCGGGCGAAGCCCTAGCACCGAAAAGGCTGACGTGAATCTCATGTTTCTCTGCAGTGGGCCCGCATCCACTTTAGTCACCATGGTCACAGCCACTCGTGGCCATCATCATGAGTAGTGTAGCTCGTCATGCAGGCTAAGATTCGCTGGGACATGGAGTTCATGGAGCGGGGTTCGCCAGTACTTTGACTGAGGCTGAGAGTTCGCTGTACGTGATGTTTCTTTGGTAAAGGTGCCAGCCACGTTGCTGGAAAGAGTGGTGCTAAATCAGGTGCCCAACACTTGGAAGCGGCTTTGTGGCATGTATGTAGGACGGTTGGATGCTTATCACGTGTGTGTGTGTGTGTGTGTCTTGGTTGGTGCTCGACCCCGAGTAAACAGACTTAAATAGACGCTCGCAGCTGCAGTACATTATTTGAAAGCCAGGGGGAAAAAAGATGAAACTCACACATCGCCTACTTGACCCGTTAAGCGAAGACAAAGAGGCTCTGCGGATACCAAACTCAAGCTTCCAAAACCTGTCTGACTGGAGCTGCCCATGGTTCCTGCTGCATGGTTTCGAATGTCTTGCCGCATGCCGCGGTCAAGTACAAGTAGTGCTGAATCTTCTTAGTCTTTGGCAATAGAATGCTGTTTTGGCTGTGGGCGGAAAACAGCGTGCTGCACGGGACGGGGCTTCAAAAACCGAGAAAAGCTGAAAGCAGGCCCCCACGGAACCAACCACACAGAGCATCCGACAGCTTCAGAAAGCAAAAGCTCATCTAACATTCAAGATTCTACCGATCCTGAGGCTGCCGTGGCTACGTGCCACCCTGAATGCACTGTGTAACTGCTACAGCAAGTTTTATAGTGGCCCTAGCCTATGAAGCATTCGAAGCTTGAAGGGTCTGCCGAGCTGCGATAGAGCCCGGCCCAGCCTCCCGGCCGCAGTACGGTTTGATGGGTTTTTGTTGAGTGGTTTAGGGTTTCGACTCACGCACTCGCACTCGGCTGGCATGGCGTTGAGGGTCTGAGGTTGAAAAGGGGACATCTGACATGCAATCCACAGCAGAGAGCAAGGGTGCTGGGCACCGAGCTCAAGTGGGAACAAGAAACAGAAGTCGCCCTTCAGTGCTCTCAATGCCGGGTGCACTTTGACATTCCTCTGCCATGGGAGCATTGTGCCCATGTACTGCATCAACTCAGCGCTTTTTGACGGAAAGTTGCTTTGCTGGTCACGCGAACATCAGCACCTGAGGAGGAATATCAAGGTACTTCGCACGTCCTCGAAGGTCCTGGATCTCAGCCAAGCAGTCAGCTGCGTTGTCACTTCTTCGTAAGTCTGGCCGGGATCCTCGTCAACACACCAAAGGAGCATCAGGTCCTCTAACAACATCAATTGGCATTGCTTGAAATACTCCGCAGCTGAAGCTGCATGAACTCCTGTGAATTTGGCCGATTCAGAACGACATTCAAACCGATGCAGGCCTGTGAGCAACGAGGACGCCCATTCCTACCGCTGAGGCTTGCTCAGGGACCGAAGGACAGATTGGAGATGGCCCATGGAGTGCAGCATCTGCTGCCAGGCCACCCATACCTTCTTTCCGTCTAACGACATGAGGTGCCGCATCCGAAAGCGTGGCTTCTGCAATCAGCTCGTGCGCAACGGGCAGGCTGACTCCGACCATATTCTGCAATCAAATGGTGGGCCGAAGCACACACGTCGCTGTTCGGGTCGAGTGTATGTTTGAAGAAGGTCTGGAGGAGCTGGCGGATGATCCGACAGACGTCATCTACATCAAACGAACTGGCTTTTCCGGCACGAGCCAGCGACACCAATCCTGGCATTCAAAGCACTTCTGTCTTTCGACATCTATGGCTTCGGAGCCTGAGAGCTAGCAGGCTGCCGGCTCATGTAATGTAGGGGCCTTAATAATTAGAATAAGGTTTTGCGGCCCATCATACTGTAGTTATCATAAGAAACCCCCAAATAGTATAGGTAATTATTTAGGCCCCTTTTTTAAAGTCATCATTGACGACGAGCAAGTCGGGCGTGTGCAAGCTGCCAGGGCGAAGGTTGGCCCACGCGGCGTAACAGGACCTTGCGACTCTGGTTTTTTTTTGACACTCACACTCGGACAAGCCTGGCAAGGTCCACCACGATACCGTCTTCAAGAAACGTTAACAGACTCTGGTTTAAGGTTTCGACTCTCACACTCGCACAAGGCCGGCAATTCTCCGCATAGTTTAAAATTTAGGGTTGAGGGTTTACGGTTTATTGCACGAACCGCCAGGCCAAGATGTCCCCCACCGAAAGGTACTGCAACGAGATGGGCAAAGCTCCTTCATGAAAAGGATCGATGGTTGCCTTCGTCGGATTCAGGTCCGATCGCGGCTCCCAATTTCTCGCTTTTTTTTCTTCCTTTTATCTGAACCTGACTTGAGCCCCTCCCTCGTGAATTTCGCCCATGTTGGCCCGGAGCTCTCCAGGCAAATCTTCCTCGATGTTGGGCTGCTTATCATCAGTCGTCTCGGCCTCGCGAGCAGCGCCGTGGCTTTGAAGAGCCGTCGCCGTTGCTTTGAAGAGCCGTCGCCGTTGCTGTCGCAAGTTCTCTGAGAAAGCCGAGACCCGCCTATTTGCTCTTCCCGTTTCAGGCTCTTTATTGCGGGAAGGGTTGCCATGTGGTGTTACACAGAGGTCGAGCACGTTGACCTCTGACTGACCGCAAGTCGCACTACTCTCGCAGTCCGACTTTGTCTTCAGGCGCATCAGGGCAGCCTCGAAAATTTTCCGAATATGTAGCTGTTTGCCTGGCATCTCTGTGTCAGTCCTATTACGGCGAAGATCGCTGCAAGCTTTGCGCAGCATCTCGGTCTCAGTCTGACCCTGAGCTTCGTGGAGGCGATGGCGAAGCGCGGCGTAGCTCTTGGAACTGCACCACATCAAGCGAGTAGTTCCACTGCTCGCGCGCGAAGTATTCCCAATTGCCAGAGGACACTTCTAATATAGAGGCCTTCATAATTACCTATACTATTTTGGGGGTTCCTTATTTTAAAAGTATGGTAAAATATACGCCAAAACCCACGTTCGTCTTCGGCAAGGGTCCAGTGTCCTAGGGATTCAACGGCACAGCAGGCCGTCACTGCACGTTGCATAGCACCGGCGGCATAATGTCAACTTCGTACCAAAACACTTGGGCATGCTGGCCGTGCTAAATTATCGTGACAATGCGGGTATCTCATGAGCAGCACAAAGTAGCCGCATAGGGTTTCGACCCGTGCTCCCGCACCAGGCAGGCATGGAGGGGTCCAGGGGCAGGTTCATGTTGGAGGTTCAAGCCAAGCTTCTTCGGCCGAAGCTGCCCGGCGTTCAAGATGTTCGTTCGGAGTTTTACAGGGTATCGTGCTAGCACATTGAGAAAAGCACTTTACGAAATACGAAGCAGAGGTTTTACACATTTGTTCAATCAACATCAACATGCGAAGCCTGCCCTTCCAGGGCCCTTGCTGGATGCAGAGTTCGGTGCTATGTCACAAAACGACCTCGAGCTCGTCTTCCTCCTCCTGCTACTGCTCCTCGTGCTGCTGAAAATGCCGCGGCCGCGACGACGACTAATGTAGGGACCTTAACAGTTAGAAGAGGGTCTTGGGGTATATTATACTATAGTGATTATAAGGAACCCCCAAAATAGTATAGGTAATTGTTAAGGCCCCTACAGTACTGATAATTATGTAATCAGCACCTCCCCATCCTGATCCATCCTGCATTACAGAATCTCCACGTCTGTTTCTCCCGGTCGTACTGCGAGGCACAAGGAACTTCTACCCCCCAATCTCACAGCTCGCGCCTTGACGTTTTTACGATCATAAATAACACACGCTTCAACTTGCTATTATGTGCTTCTAGTAGCCGTCGTTTGAAGCATAATACATTGTACAAGTCAATGTCTACTATGTGTTATATACATCATATAGAGAGAGAGATATAAACATATGCAGGCATTCATGTTTAGACACACTCTGACTCTGCCGTGTATTGGTCGCAATGGCTGGGCTGCCTGGAGTTCGACGAGGGCAGAGTGCCAGGTGAAGAGCTGCGAGTTTGTGCGGGCAGGCAGCGATTGACCCCAGAACCTCGGTAGCCATCCCAAGTCTACAGTGTGAAGTGTGAAGCCATAAGAATCACGACGTCAACTCCCAGCAAATCCGAAGCAGCCACAAAACTACTGCTGTGTGATGTATGCCATGTATGCTCGCCTGAAAGGGGTTGAGGGGTTGAACCGGGACCAAGGCGGCAACAAAGCTTTGCAAGCCGCCTCTTCAAGACAGGATCGGCCCAGAGCCCCCATCTGGGTAAGTGAAACCGCAAAAGCCGGAACCCTTCTGAGACGAGAGCGTGTACAGGTACTTCATCAGCGTGTTCCTTGCTGGGGCAATATGATGTATTTGTTGAACATGCTATAATCGATCACATTGTAATACTGTTATAAATATGGGACACCATATTCATCTTTGTTCGGAGGTAGACACCAAGGCTTGAGACTGGCGAGCGCTAAAAGCTGGCACGGTACAGGGATCAGGCGTTTAGTGATCGTGGTTGGAAAAGGTCAGCTTCGTATCTGAAGATGCGAACTGTCTCTCGTTTCCGTGAATGATGTCCTGACAGCCTCACAACATGACTCAGGGTCCAAGAAGACGCAACCACAGCTAGGAGCATAAATACAACAATAGCTGATAGTGGCCGAAAAACTTCATACTGTGGCTGAATCCGAAATATTTCCCAGCCTAGGCGGTAGCTTGGGCGCTTGGTCTGAACTGGGCGGCCCAACCGGGAAACGAAAACATAAACCAACAAAATGTTGGCCAACACATCACCACATCACAAGTGGCCTACCTGGAGAAAAGCGTCTTCAGTGCAGCAAAGAGGCTGCGCATCCTCGCTCAAAGATGCTGCGGCGGCCTTGATCTCTGCCTGCACGAACGCGTCTCGGCCCGACATGGGGGCATAAAGACAAGTGGCTTCTCTGCGGTCCTTGTCTTGAGTGGTAAGTTTAGGACACCAGCAAAGCGCAGAGGCTGGCAACCCTGAGAAATAGAAACCTGTGTTCTTAGGGCTCCTTATTCTGATTTTTCCTATACAGGTCCTTAAAAGCGTAGCTTCTGCGTTAAGGTATGACTTCACCTGAAAACCTTAGCACCCGAAGCCCTCATCCCACCTTAAACCCTGTGTACCCTTGCGCCTCCCGGAAGGCCGACATGGCCTTTGCTCTGGTAGCTGCTACCAAGACCACTGCTATCATCCTTGTCACTCATTATTATGTCTGGGTCTCCCAATTTTCCTTCTTCCATATAGTACATTGCCATGATTATTCTTTGCGCTCGTAAAATTCGTACTACGGTTCTCATTACTATGAGCTTGATGACTACTAATACTCTTGTTACAAAAAACCTTACTATCAGTAGTAGTAGTAGTAGTAGTAGTAGTAGCAGTAGCAGTTTCGCAGTGTGAGCTGTGAAAAACGATTACACATGGTGTGGGCTTATTTATGAAGTCTCGATGATAAGTTCTCGGCCCCACGTAAAGTTCCAAGCAACGTTGCGGCTTACGGGGCCGAGACAGGCATAGACTGTGTGACCCTGGGCAGCTATCTTGTGACTAAGAATGGCGTGATGAGCGAAACAAATGATACTGGCAAACTGTGTGAATAACTATTAACAGAACCAAGTTACTTGTAAAACCGTCTTGGCAGCCTCCTCCCGGGTCTTCACTGTGGCACCTTACACATGAAGGCTGGCACTTGCAGCGACTTGATACATAGACCGTCGAAGGTCGACGAGTCGACGACGGCGCCTAGCAGTGCTGGGAGTCGACTCTCCCTCGGACCGGACCCGGCCGGGGGGTTTAGGGGAAAAGCTCATTTGCGGATGTCTTGGTAGAATGTCAGAAGTGACACCAGAATACACCCGCGAACTAGAGACTCAACCCTGTACCTAGAACAAACACTCACAGCCACTAAGCTCGGGCTCGACTTGATGCATGGGACGAGTGACGAGCAGCAACTCCCGTTCAAATTTTGAGTGTAGAGTGTAGAAACACAGGGCATGTGCCACTCCGGAAAAACAACGCCGGATGTGCATCAGGGATGCAAGACACACTCTAAAAAGCTGCGGAAGTCGTAAAACTTTCCCACGCGAGGCCTGGATCCTTTGACCAACGCGCTTGCACAAAAACTCAATCACAGAATTTATTTTCACAGGCATGGGACTCAAATACATTTTAGACCGTATGCCGAAGCGCCGTAAGGAGGTTCCTTCAGCGCCTCCGCAAGAGCCTCCTTCGGCTGCCTGTTCTTCAGCAGGCCCTGCAAAGACAAAGGGGTGGCAAAGCAAGTTGCGGAGTCCTTATAGGACTTCGGGGATTAGTATAGGATAGTATTGGGTTTGGACTCTCGCGACTTGGACACTCCAGGACCCCAGGGTGCCAGATTGCTTCCGCCATGCAGCTCGAGTTTGTGAGACCAGCACTCCAGCCTTCGCGCCCCAAATCCGACCCCCCGAACCCGGGTCGCACCGAAGCCTCCGCACTCAACAATGGCCAGCAGCCATTGACAATCGGCGCAAAACCCTAATATAGGGGCTTCAAGAATTGCCTATACTATTTTGGGGGTTCCTTATTATAACTATAGTATAATGGGCCCCAAGACCCTATTCCAATTATTAAGGCCCCTACATTAGCCCCAGAAGCCCCCTGGAATTTTGGGAATTCCGGAGGTCCGATTAAACCCCAAAGCCCAAAACCCTGACCTTTAGGGTTTAGGGTTCAGCGGCCTCCACGGTTGCTCTGCCTCAGCAAGTTCTGAAGCTCGTCTTGGAGGGTTGTCCAGGCAAGTTCGGCTTTGGAATTTAGGAGGACGTATATAAGTTCTACGTATGTGCCTATGTTCTTCCCCACTTACAGTTCCTTATTCTGAATCTGCTAAAGCACACCCCTATTCCAATTGTAAAGGGCCCTATATCAATATCAGAGAAAGAGCGTGACAGGACGTGGGAAGTCTTGCAGCCGCATCGGAGCCGGGGATTCCCCAAACCCTAAAAGCTTGTTCCCTCTAGGGGTTTCTAGAACCCCCTAAAACTTTTTCCCTTTTGGGGGTTTCTAGAAAGCCCCCAAAAGCTTTAGGGTTCAGGGTTTAGCAACCCCAACCTGAACTCCGAAACCCTGAACCCAAGAAGGAGGCAAGGTGCATCTGGCGCAGCGGGATTGCCAGTCCTCCTCCGAGGCCAGTGCTGGCGTCATCACGACGTCAGCCATGGCGCCAGGAGTTGCAATGATAATGTCGGCCCCAGATTCGGCTATGAGCCCCTTTGCCCGTATTTCAAGGCTTGTTGGGAAACAAGAAGTCCCGCCTATGTGCTGCATATGGCATATGTGCTTCGAGGCACGAGGCTAACTTGCAGGGATGTCTCAAACCACGACAAGCTTCGGGATTTTTGCTGTAGGGTTCCTCAAACTTGACGGGCCACGCATGTATGGCCATTCTACCACCAGTATGTAGCTCATGCCACCCCATGCACGTAAGAAGCGTGCCTTGTCAGCAGCGAGTCATGCAAGATGCTTCCACACCCTCAGCACTCGCTTAGAGACGAACAGAAACGAAGAAATACCGTTAAAAAACATCCCTACTCAAAACCCCGGAAGTTTTATGATCGTGCATAGTCGGCACCATAATGACCAGTAAAGACCGAGAAGCGCATCACAGCGTTCATCGATCCCCACTTCCCCTCCGAACTACCTGGGGGGCTTCCCTTTGGGACTCTTCCCGGAATCCTCGCGCCTTACGATTGGCTCCTTTAGTCAGACTCCCTGCTTTGTCGTCGCAGCTGCCTGTCAATCTTATATTACTAAGCCTTCCTTAAATCATAAAGAATATTCATAAATCTGCAGGGTATGTCATCGAGCGACAGATGAGGCAAAAAAGTCCGGCGCAAATGCCGTCTGGCTGTACTGTGACGGCTGCGATAGGAACTACTACTCTCATGCTCCAAGTGGCAATGATATCACAGTTTACTGCTACTGTAAACCATGACCCTGGCAGTGGCTATGATATGCATTGTGATTCATTGTTTTTGATAACCTACCATATTTAGGTGAATCTCTCCTGCTGTTGAAGTTGCTCATCCAGTAACACTGATACCTCGGTTGACCTCATGGTTACGACATCAGACTACACTGTAATGGCAGCTCTGGTTCTGATAGGCCTAAGCCCAAAGCACTATACCCTGAACCCTAAGCTCTTGCTACATATCATATACCACAATTTACCGTAGCAGACCACAGTAGACCATAACAAAGTAGAATATTCAAACATGAACAGTATGATGTTAGTGGATGTTGCAGTCTGCACGACCGGGCCCCGCACAGCAGCAGGGGCCTGGACCTCGGAACTCGCTTCGCTTCCCATCTTGGGTTTAGGGCTGTAAACCGTATTTTTGGGGTTGGGCTATGTCATACTGTATGGTGCTATATTTTACTATATGGTCTTACATGACATCGTCTGATCTTACATCATTTGTCGGTATTGGCTGGATGTGCAGTAGACGCAAGGCTAAGGGCCAAATTTTGTGAGGTTAAGGTTGCGCGCAAAAAAATGCCGTAGATAGCTAACAGCAACCCATCAATCCATCCAGCCAGCAACGTCGTTCGGAAGTCCGGAGACATGGGGTTCCTAGGCATGCATAGTTTCGTGTTGTAGTATATCATGGTCTACTATGGTATACTCGGCCAAAGGAATATTTTAATTTGGTATACTATACTATACTATAGTATACTATACGTTGATATGGATTTTTAAGCATTGCTGAACGAAGGCAGCTGGGGGCCACACTTCGACCGGGAGCTCGCTGCCATTGCTGAGGCCTCGTCGCTTGGCATGTGCAACTTTTGTAGGCAATGCGGTTGCCTTTGCAATCAGGTTTAGGGTTTAGGGTTATACTGTTCCTGTAACGGGTTCTATGAGGGTCTAGCTTAGGGCCTTGATAATCAGAATAGAGCTTTGGAGTATAGTATATAATAGTAGGAACTCAACAAGGAACCCGGAGGCACAGTTATTCAGGTCAGTTATCATGCTGAAGTTTAGAAGTTTAGACATTGTGCGGGACTGGGCATGCGGGGCAGGGGCCCCATCATGGGTTTAGGGCTTCTCGGTGTCCAGCCGCTTATAATATTATATCAACAATCTCAAACACAATTCTTTCCACATATTCAAATACCGACCTCGTCCAGTCATAGTACTATTCAGTTCTTCTTGATTCCAGCTGGCGTGCTTGTCGTACTACGTACCGGGAAGCGAACTAACCATACCCCTTTGCCACCGGGGTCATCAGACCAAGCACTGCTCCACGGTTCCCAAGTCAGACCCCCAGGTACTGACCAAAGGTTCGGGGGGAAGAGAGTGAGAGAGATAAATCCATGAATCTATCCCGAGACAGCTCATGTCATACCTCTGGAAGGAAGCTACCTACCTGCTCTGACCGGGATCAACCTCCTTTTTTCTGCGCTGCGGACTCAGCCCTGAATCCTCAGAAAGTTGTATAAACCTGCCACATTCGACGCATTCCAAACCCAAATCGCCTGTGTCTTATTCCTAATTGGGTACAGTCCCCCTTTTGAGGTCCTCAAATATAGTACCAGTACGGCACCCTTATAAAAAAGACCCCAAAAAGGGATCCGGATCTAGAGAACTACCCACTTGTTGGTATTCCCACCTCCGGGCCCCGGGCGCGAGCGCAACTCACTGAGCTCCCGCGGAATCAAAGCCCTTTGCCATAGCCGTGGGTCCTGAGCCGACCCGACGTAAAGGCTAACAACAATCCCAAACCCTCCAGGTACCTAATATAGGGCCTAAAGGGCCCTGGTACCCTATATAGTAGATAACTGGGGGGTGAGGGAATTATAAGGGGGGAGGCGCCGAGGGCGCCCTGGTACTTTGCATGCTTGGCTTAACCAGTGAAGGAAAACCGAGGTTTCAGCACGATATTCAGGGAAAAACTGCGTTCTAGCGCCTGCCAGAAATTAGTTTGAGTTGGAAAGATTTCACTCAGCTGTTTTCAATATTGTAGTGATCATCATCTTCGTCATCATCGCCATCACCACATCGTGTTTCACAATGTTGTGCGCTTGAAGTTTTGCCGGTACGGTGGCAGTCCCCAGTACTGGAAATATGGCCTGCTTTGTATGTGCTGCCATGATCGCCATCTCGGAGCTCCCCTGTTTCACGTCTAAGTCTGAGTGGTATTCCGCATTTGTCACGCAGGCTGCCTAGCAGCTGTGCGTCGGGTAGATATAGTCAACATGCATGTTTTGTCGGCGTCAGCGCCTTGTTCGGAATCGAATTGGGCGGTTGTTTTGTTGGCATGGCTGCTGCAAGCAAAGTGGCCGTGCCACGGGGAAATCCATGGAGTCCCGAAGCAAAATAAAAACACACCGAAAAACTTAAGTGTGCCTCAGAGCCGGAGCCGGAAAGTTGGAACCTTACACTAAAAACCTAAACCCTAAGACCCTCAGCCTTTAAACCCTAAAGCCCTCTTAGTAACTCATCTAGCAACCCCTGTAGCAGGCCTTATAGTAGGTGGCGGGCGCCAAGGGCGCCGTGTGTTACTTTCCAGGGTATTCTAGAATTCTCGGGACGTTTAGGATGATTCCATGGGGTTGGGGGGAGGGTGGGGGGACGATGATGTCGGTTCTGACGGTGACTAGGCCCAATCTGGGCCCAATTTGTACAACATGTTGCAGAAGGATGTTCTTACGTAAGTGTTTGACATGTCTGGCATAAGACGCACTGCTCCACGCATTCATGCCTTGTGCGAGCTGGAATTTTAGCATTTTCTTTGCGACAACGAAGTCATCAGTAACAAGTTCGGTGTCGTTTAGGGTTTAGGGTCAGGGTGGTCTAGGGTTTGGGACCACCAACCTAGCAGCCGAAACGCGGTATAGAGGCCACAAGTTTGGGTTTAAGAATGGTTTTAAGGGTCTGAAGTGTTGTAATTACGAATCACAACAGGGTATAGGGTTACATTACAGCATAGCGAGACTGGGCACTTCTAGGCTACAGTATCTTTGAACATCTTTACGTGTTCAGACCCCCTATTCGGGCCGAGAGCTGGGTTTCCGAGGTGCCAGGTTAGAGGAATTCCTAGCCCAGGGCTACTACAAGGGGTACTTGGAGGATCATGGGACTTAGTAAGTGGGGATATAACTAAGGTAACTATGGTTATATCTACTTTATAACCCTATTTAGGGTACTTATAACCCTACTTACTAAGTCCTCTGATCCTCTAAGTGCACGAAACCTAAAGGGGTTGCTGCAAGAGCCTTGAGAGTCTGGAGCCAGGAAGCGTCCTAAAGCCTGAACCCGAAGCACCTGAAGCTTCCCAGAGACTCCAATATTCCTCAACTAAGGAAATATTCCTTAAATTCTAGTAGGATCCTCAATATGATTTAAGGTATATTCCTCAATTAAGGGATATTGGAGTCTCTGGGTTCCTAGACCCCGAAGCCATCCGAAGCCCCTAGAATTATACACTCTGGATTAGGATCCCTTTTAGGGTCCTTTCTATAGGGTTGCCGTTCCATATTGGGGATGAAAAAATTGGACCCTAAGAACTACCCGCTTATTCACTATTAATATCACTTGCTCCGATTTCTTCGACCTCCCAACTTAAACCCTTTTTTGCAACAGGCCTCGTTGTCCAGCCCTCAACTCTGTAGTAGCTTGAGGGACGTTCTCGTTATCAACACACATTATTAAGGAGCCAGAGCAAATTCTGGGGCATGTGCGTCATCCGGTATCCGCAGAACCTGGCTGATTCGCTGTGCCCTCAAACCTAAACTGCAGAAAACTGGCTCAACGCATCCGCTGTCCTCGATTTCTCGGTTTACCTCAAGGAACTTCGTGTGTCGGTTACCGGATGTGTCCAGATGTGTCACGTGTGTTTGCTGCGGGATCGCCTCCAAGCATTCGTGCCGCGGCAGACACTTGAACAAGGTCTACCACCAATCTCATCTTCCAAGCTCTCCAGGATCAGCTCCACAATTGCTCTCACGCCATTCGGAGAATCCAGGCTGTAGCTTCTCGGGTCGGTTTCAGCACTCACTCTCGGACATGCCTAGGCGAGGTTCCTGGTACACGACGACTGCACTTTGGCGACAGGGGAGACGGCACGTATCACCATCTCAAAATCATTAGCTGCCCTTCGCACCAAGCTTAGGGTTTACGGGTTTAGGGGTTTCAGCACTCACTCTCGGACATGCCT